ATGACCATTGTTTTGCCTGAAAAATTCAGTGGCATTGTATCACCTGTGGGCCTGAGCCAGCAGTCTTCTTCCAACCTCTCCTGCCTCATCTCTCCCCACTTCCCAGCTGGAATGTCAGGCAAATCAGACTGCCCCCTGACCCTCCTCCCTCTCCGGGAAAGAGTAGCCCCCACGGAGATCTCGCTACGTTTCTCTCCAAAGAGAAGTCCAAACCCTGCTTCTCTTGCAAAGCCTTCTGCTGCCACTGAGACCCTTAACGGGCACTTCCCTTCTGAGTGAGCTACTGTCTTGTCTGATTATCGTTCCCATACTTGCAAGTTCTTTTTAAGAAGGGGAGGAGGGTTTTGTGCTCACTGTGCATCACCCTTGGGGCCCTGCCACGGGCAGTCGTGACACAGATGTGTATTTGTCCGTCCCACATGCCTGCCCTTCGCGTCGCTCTCAAGTCCTCCGTGGAGGCCTCGTGTGGTAAGCCTGTGCCCTCTCTCCCCGGCCTGTTTTTCAGTGGGTGATTATCGAGCAGGGATGCTTTGCTTTTTCCATGGTGATCGTTCCACTCTACGACACCCTCGGAGCTGATGCGATCACATACATAATCAACAAAGGTATGCCTGTGCACAACAACCGAGCTGGGGGTTCGATCCGGTGACCGGACGTTTGCCGATGTGTGATTTGACACAGGGCTTTTCAGAAACTCAAATGCCCGTCTCCCAGTCTTCTGGTCGGAGGATGTAGTACTGAGAATAATTACATGCCTGATATTTGCTGAGCCGAGCTTTCCATATCCCAGTACCATCTTCCTCGTTGTATCTCCTCTTTTCCAGCTGAGCTCTCCCTGATTTTTGTTGACAAGGCAGAGAAGGCCAAACTCTTACTGGATGGTGTAGAGAATAAGTCAATACCAGGCCTTAAATTCATCGTTGTCATGGACTGCTTCAGCAGTGATCTGACGGAACGAGGCAAGAAGAGCGGGGTGGAAATCATCAGCATGCAGGCATTGCAGGTGAGTCCATCGGCCCTGCCCACATACAGCTTTGAAAGGGTTGTGTGCAGCCATTTGGGTTCAAATATGGCCAATTGTGGCCGGTCGTCTTAGCGACCCTTGCTCTTTTTTGCAAAGACAGATTCCATAGGCCCATGTATCAGCACAGCCCATACTACAGAAAGCACTCTCATAAAGTGAGCTCAGTGCTCCCTTGTATGTTTTAAAACACTGGACAGCACTGCTATATAAGTGCTGGCAGGTGCATTTCAGACTCAGATGGGTAGACATTATGTCCTCTTCGGACTCCATGATGGCCTTCCACTTCCTGATTTGTCTGTAAAGCAGACGCAGATGTAGAAATCAGCCCCGTTGTTCTCTTCCTGCATTTCTTGGGTCTAAGTCCTGGTGGGCTTCAGATTTTTCTGTTTTCATATTAGATCTCTCAAGGTTCACGTTAGTCATAACCGATCCCGGGAAGTGCGTGTGGTCCACACTTGAATTGACCGTTTGATGGCAGGTCATGTAAGAGGTTGATTCCCCTGGTTGGAGTGTGGTTGCAGCTCAGTCCAAGGAAGTTGGGAAGGATCGTTCTTTGTACCCACCATGGAGCCTAAAAGGCTAACCCGAGGATGGGTATTCATGGAGCACGTCATTTTCTTCCTTTGAAATTGTTTTTAAAATGTGTTTTCGTTTTCCTGCTTCAACAGAGAGTTTCAGGCTACAAGTAAAGGTTTATATAACTGCATTATTTCCTGGGGGCTCTGGGAGTCAGTCACAGGGAAACTGCTATCTGTTCTACTGAACCAGCTCCCCTGCCCATACCACAAAATGTGACTCCACAGGAGCAAACGGGTACTTGACATTCATTTGAGTTAATAGCTGGTTGTATACCATTGAAAACATATATATATATGTATGTGTATATATATATATATATATATATACACACATATATATATAATCTGTTTGGACAGAATATAATCTCCTTTTCTCCTTCTTCCTTCCCCTCTCCTTGTCTTAAGACACAAACAGAAGGTTTTATGCGGGTGGGGGAAAGTTATTTTTGACCGCTAAATAATAGAGAAGTAATTTTAAGATAAGATGTCATATGAATTTATGATTAAAGAGCAGAATGTAAGTTTATATTAATGCTGTATTTCTAAAGGAAATTGGTGTACATTTTTTTCTGCTTAATATAACTGCATGTACATTTTGAACAAATGAGTAGAACTTTAGCTTCTGATAGATTATGTTGATTTCATTTTATTTGGATATTAAAGTTCCTGTTTCTAGCCAATGGCTCTGACTCTTTGGTAATAGTTCAAAGTAGGGCGTAGAAGACTCTCGTAGGACATGAGAGTGGAGATAAGGAATGCATCTTTGAAGATGTGGTTTTACCGTCTTTTGAATAAGTTCTCTTTCAAAGATAAGTCCTTGGGCTGCGTGCATGGTTTTGTGGAAAAGGGAAGACGTCTAGGAAGGGAGTTTTGATCGGTTAAAACTGCCGTAGTTTGGTTAACTTTGAAGGTTACCCTTTGGATTGGCTGTGAGTGAGCCGCACGGTAAAGTCAGCTTTAAGTGACTTGATGTGACTTTGCTCTCTACATCTAGAAAACAATTCCATCTAAGATTACTTTTTTTCCTTCTTTTCCTAAGAACCTGGGGAAAGCCAACAGAAGGAAGCCCAAGGTAAGTACCTCGTGCCAGACCCTGTCACAACCCTGTGAGGGTCTCGGTGTCTGTTCACTGGGAGTAGAAATCCTGGATGATGCTCTGAGGCTCCGGTTCTTCCGGCGGTGAGAACAGTGAAGCGCTCGCTTTATTGCTACCCAGAAGGTTGGTGGTCTGAACCCACTCAGAGGCCCATGGGAAGCCAGGCCTAATGTTCTGCTTCCCAAAGCTGACAGCCTTGACCCCTATAAAACCAAACCAAACTCAGGGCCATCAAGTCCAGGCTGGCTCATGGCGACCCTGTGGGCCAGAGTAGCACTGCCCGCTGTGTGCGTTTCTGAGACTGTAACTCTTTGGGGGAGTAGGAAGCCCTGTCTTTCTCCCTTGGAGGGGTTGGTGATTTCTAACTGCTGACCTTGCAGTTAACAGCCCAACTCAGAAGCACCACGCCCCCGGGCTCCCTTTTAAACCCTACGGAGCAGTGCTCCTAGGCACGGGAGGGGCCACCGCATCAGAGTTGCCTTGACCTCACAAGCAACACTAACTTGATGACTTACGGGCTTTTCCTTTATTTTGTGTAGCCTCCAGCACCTGAAGATCTCGCAGTAATTTGTTTCACAAGTGGGACTACAGGTATGTTTGGAAATGAGATCGCTTCTCCGTGGCTTCTGGAAGTTTGGACTCCCACCCCTTTTTGGGGGACCACTTATGAGCAACCTCTAGATGGACTGGAAGTAATCCAAGTGGGGTCTCCTTGTTAGTGGCGGACTTGCTCAGACACTGCTGGGCTTTCCCTCAGACACGTGCTGAATGCAGCCGGTTTCCTGGGCCAACTGTGCCAGTCACATTCCTGGGCGTTCTGCTCTCCTTGCTGCAGACCGCCTCTAAAACTTGCCCAGGTTCCTAGCGATGACTTCTGATAATGAGGTGCTTTTAAAGGGATTTCTGGTTGCTCTGTAAATCTAAGGTTACTCAACAATTGGCTTTCACAGGGGTACCCAACCCCAGAGGCACTTGAGATGGTAATCATCCAGCGTACCTGAGCCTCCTCGCTGACTAGAATCCTTGCAGAGAGGCATCGACTCTAACTTTGTTCTGCTTCGTGTGTGTTCTGCAGGCAACCCCAAAGGAGCCCTGATCACCCACCGAAATATAGTGAGCGATTGCTCAGCTTTTGTGAAAATGACAGAGGTAACCTTTGGGGGCATTGCCATCTTTGTTCATGCTCATTGGGTGGCCTTAGGCCTTAAGAAGGAAGGGGTAAGGAGACTAGCTAGAAATGTATCTAGGGAACAACCCCTGCGAGTTTGGCATCCCCGGGCGGTGCAGTTGTGTAGGTCCACACTATATTTGGAATCCTACCTGACATAGCTGTCTGGTCCTTGAAGATCCCCTCCCCCCCCTCTCAAATGATATTCATTGTGATCCTGATCGCCAACCCTTGCCTGAGTCCATTAAGGTGGATGGAAAAAATTTGCTGTCGTTTTAGAAGGGGAAACTTGATTTGGCCCCTGCCCTGTACACATTCCCAGGAAAAGGCAGAGGACAAAATCTGCAATGTTATTGACTCTTCCAGGGTTGGGGAAATGATATTCAGTTGATAATGAAGTGTGGGCTGTTGCTGAGGGGGATTTTAGTTTGTTTTGTTGGTTTGTGTTTTTTTCCCCCCCGAATGATTAGTTACTTGGTCCATTTGCCTTCCATTTTGAGATGGGCTGCAGCCTAGAACTGTAATTACTTTTTTGTCATCTTAAAGTTTTCTAGCTAAAGATACAAGTCAGACTTGCCCTTTAGGAAGGTTCTGATTTTACCGTTGAGGGTTCCATGCCTTTCCGCCATGCCCTTTCCACGTGTTCCCTAGTTTTCTCCTTCCGTCTCTGGACGCAGGCTGGGGCCGTCCTCACAGCAGGAGCCTGGGCTTCATGGTGCTGGGGAACGGAGGCCTTAGGTGGCTGCAGAATAAGGGCTCTCACCCCTTCTTAACTCCACGCACACGCTCCTGCTTCCACATGCCTTTTGTGCTTTTTAACTGGAGATCAACATTTCGTGCCCTACCAAAGTGAGGTTTTCATTTCCTACTTTCCCTTCAAAGAAAACGTAAAAGGCATTGGTGGCTCCCCGAGCAAGTGATTACGAGCTTTGATAACAGCAACACCGAGAGCCGGTCATCGTATCAAAGGGCAGTCTCAACGTTGTAAAACTGCTGTTCATGCTAAATGGTTATTATTTGTCATACTAAACCAGAAAATGAAGTCGGTGGCTCTTTGTATGGTGATCCAAAGAATTCGTTTGGCTACAGGTCCACTTGAATAAAATGGAAGTGAGAATGTCATGTAACCTCCAGTGCTTGCTCACATGCTTAAGCCTGACCCAGCTGTAAGGATCGGGAAGGCAGCGCTCCGAAGTGGACCCATCACCCACTAGGCAGCTTGACAGCCCCTCCCCCTCACTTCCCAGGTGATGTAGCAGCAGCTGCTGTGGGCAGCCTCCCATTGGGCCACAGTTCTCTGTAAAGAACACGAGAATGCCCTCCACTGCAAAGACTCAGTCATCACTGAGTTTGCATAACTCAGTGAAGCCCATTTGGAGCCCTGGGATGAAAACGTGATGTGCAGACTTAGACTGGAAACGGGCCCATCGTGGTCAGCATTGTAGACGAGGACAAACCTGAGCTTGAAGGAAGCCGATTGGAGCATTTTTCAGGGAGTTGAGGTGGGCACGATGGGGGCAGCAGTGGTTCAGTGGGGGACGTTTCGCCTTCTCTGAGAGACCCATGTTTGGGACTTGCTGCTGCTCCCAGGCAGCTACCGCCTTTCTCCCAGGGGAGGCTCCCACGGTGCTATGGTGCTGAGCAGGGGTCATTGGTGCCTCCTGACTAAAACGGACCAGGGAGAAAGAGCTGGTGATCTGCTCCAAACATGAGCCCCTGAACCTTTACAGCAGCTCAGCAGCATAGAGCAGCAGCCGCAGCAGCAAAGTAGGGCTCCGAGGTGAAAATGTTGATCGAACTGCAATCCTCCCGGTGCATATCTACTCTCCATGGAGCATGTTGGATATCCAACTGCTCTCGTCTCCTTTTCCTCTTCCCTCTGCTGTTGTATATTGAAATATAGCTTATATTTCATAACCCCAAGATGGAATTGAGCATGTGGGGCGAGCGGGTCTGAGGAATCGGAAATTGGAAGCGGGTTACAGCACATAATCCCCAACATCTCACTTGGAGCAAAAAATGTCCTGATTTTGACTAAATTCGTGATTGGATTTACTTTGTCATTCGGAACGACCTCAGATTTCACCCTATCTGAGAAACTAAATTATGGCATTTCATCTCAGTCTTGACTGAGAAGTAACTGCAGCTCATGAGCAAAGTTAAGCTCTCCTTTAAGTTGGGGGATTATGTGTCTTGAAATAAATGGGGGAAATTGCTGGATGTTAATCCTTGTCTGCCTTGCCGGTGTCTTTCCTTTCAGAACATAGTCAATCCTTGCCCAGACGATACTTTGATTTCTTTCTTGCCCCTGGCCCATATGTTTGAAAAAGTGGTTGAGGTAGGCATTGTGTTTTGTTACCTGTTCCTTGCTTGTTTGTTTGTGTTGTGCTAAGTGGTTATGTTTTCCAGACAGCACTTACCTTGAATGCCAGTGACACACACATTTCATTCTTACCACTCGCACACATGTATGAGCAACTCATGCAGGTAAGTGTCTTGCGTTCACTGTCATCCCCATTGGGTGATTTCTGACTTAGCCCCAGTTTAGAGATTGTGCGGATTATTTCACAGAATGTAAACCCTCCCTTCCCTCCGGTCCTGGGCTCTAGAATCTTAATCACTCGTTTTAAAATTTGGAAGTTTTAGAAAGAGAAATGGCAGTGTTTTCAGACTAGATCTGCAAATGTATCATATAGAAAGAATTCTTATGTCTCGATAAAATAATAATAATTATAACCCAATGAAGAAATGGGCCAAGAATCGGAATAAACATTGTTCCAAAGAAGATACAGAAATGGCTAAAACACGCATGAAGAGATGTGCAGCCTCCTCACCAACACTGATGGTCATCGCTTCCTTGTTGAGCTGGCTGTCTGGGGGAGTGAGGCGAGAGTTCATTGTACTTTGACAAGGCACTGGTATGAGATGGCCTGCTGTCGCTCCTGCACACTCAGCCGCCTTTCAGAAAATTTGAGCCAAATTCTGGTAAAAGAAGATGAGACCTTAATAAGCTTTAGTCAGCAAATAGTTAGGTTTTATTTTGACAAGGAGTTAGGCTTCAAATTTCAGGAAGGCTCAAAATATCTAGACTATATAGTACCCCGTCAGTCACCCCAAAGACAGCCATCATGAAGCTCAAGTAGCGGATGCTCTATCATCTCTCTGGAGACAACGTGGGGTGTGCCAGTTTCGTATTCACCCGTTTATCTCCCCGAGGATCAAGAGAGACTTCAACTTCCATGTTGTCCCCTGACACAAGAATGACAACAGAAGAAAGAAAGTGATCTATACTTAGTAACTTATTTTCTGGAAACTTTTCTAAGATAGTAAAAGCACAGTCTTGTGTGTAACGTACGTTGTTGGTATGTGACATAGGTGGCTCATGTAGGATAATGTGTCACACCGCCGCAGGGGCAATGACACGTGTTGCTGTTTCTCTGTACCTCTGCAGTGTGTCATGCTGTGTCACGGAGCTAAAATAGGATTTTTCCAAGGAGATATCAGATTGCTGATGGATGACCTTAAGGCACTTCAACCCACTATCTTCCCAGTGGTTCCCAGGCTGCTGAACCGGATGTTTGACCGAGTAATTGCCGGGGCGGGTGGGGTTGGGGGGTGGCACGCAGTATGTGTGGGACAGAGCTCTGGACTTTGAGTCAGACGCTTGAGTTGGAATTGGGAATTGAACTGTGTGAGGTGGACAGTGCTCTTGATCTCATAGAGCCAGCGCTCCCTCGTCTGTAAGAATCCATCTGCCTCACAAGGGTTATTGGTAAGGATTACCTGAGAGAAAACACATGAACTCTCTTGGGAACTGACAGGCACAATGCAGGTGTGAGGCGGGCAGTCCTTTTGGTTTTATAGGGGATCACTGAGCCCGTTTTCTCATCTACGAAAGTGACGGTTACCTTCTTCCCCCTGATGCATAGATAAAAGGTTGTTCACAGACTCCCTTGAAAGTAATACTACGCAATGGTTTCGTTAATTTAATGCTCCATGCACACGCCAGATGGCACAGTAAAACCTGCAAAAGCCGGAACCTTTGTAAGATGGAAGCCTGTGAGAGAAGCAAAACATAACTCAGTTATGTTCTGCTTGTGGCACTAGAAGAGCCCCAAGAATGCATCCCATCACAGGCAGAAAATCTGAGAGCCTCCGAGAAGCCAAGCCATCCTGGCCAGTGTCTGCCCTCATGGGTTTCACTGGGCTCAGGGCCACCTCGAGTGTCCCCGGGAGAGAGTCCCAAGTTGCCATGCTTGGCTGCCGACTGGAGCTTAGAGGCTCAGCCCCAGCTGGAAGGGCCACAGAAGAAAGACCTGGAGACCTGCTTCTAAAGAAACAGCCCTGTGTGACCGTAGGGAGCACAGGTCCCCTCCGACACGCGGGTGGTTGTGAGACAGTCCAGGCGGGAGGGACAGACGGCCACTGTTGTCAGCCGTTACGCCAGGGCCACCCTGCAGGAGCAGCCTGCAGAATGCGCGTGGGGTGCTCTTCATTTGGAGGCAGAGCTTTCAGGCCTCTCTGAGAATCTCCCCATCTCTTGGCCCATTAGATTTTTGGACAAGCGAACACTGCGGTAAAGCGCTGGCTGTTGGACTTTGCTTACAAGCGAAAAGAAGCAGAGCTTCGCAGTGGCGTCATTAGAAACAACAGCCTGTGGGATAAGCTCATCTTCCACAAGATACAGGTAACCATGCAACTCATGGGCGTGCAACTCGTGCTTCTGAAGTCAAACCTGGAGAGTCTCACCCTTGAGAGATTTCTATGAGAGAGAGAGAGAAAGTGTGTGTGTGTGTGTGTGTGTGTGTGTGTGTGTGT